AAAAATTAATTAATTATTAATTAATTGTTGATTAATTGTTGATTAATTATTCATTGATTGTTAATTAATTATTAATTAATTAATTGATTTGCAATTACATACTCCAATTAATTTGGAAAGTTTTTCGAAAAAAAAATTTAAAAAATTTGATGTCAATTATATTTTTAAATTAACCTAACAGGTTTTTATGAAAAACTACAGATATATAAAACTTTCGAAATCAATTTTGACAATAAATATGCATTATATAGTACAGTACCACAAAATTAATTGGAGTATGAGACAATTATAATAACTAATAGTCTGCATTGAAGTAATAAAATACCGATTTTTCTATATATTGAATTATTTTTTATCTCTCATAGGACCTTCTATGGGCCGAAACGAATGTTGACCCCTAAAATTATTCCTCATAAGGCATACATCCCACTAGTTTATTTCAAAATTGGCGAGTCACACTTCCCTAGTTTCCCTTGTCAGTTCAACTTGCGACTTACTTAATACTTTAACAACCAACGCTAATAATTTCATAAATTAATTTAGTTCAATTTACTTAGTACATTAATGATTAGTATGTCTTCCAGTCGGCGCCTTCGGTAGTCAGCTGGTTGTGCTCCACAAACTCACTGATTCGCTCTTTCTCTCTTAGACAGCATTGCTCTGATACTTGGTTTTTTATTACACGAATCTACGTTTTGCAACTACTATTAATTTATCCTATACAGTAGATTAATCAGTAGAGCTTCTTCCCCGCATTGGTACTCCCCTACGTACCCACTGCGTCGCTGCTCTTAATTAAACATGATAGCGTGGTTCTGGATGTTCGATTCTCCCTAACAGATACACCGCTTTCCGAATTCTTATTGATTTAATAACCGTCGTTGAACAGCCGACCTAATTTTATGGGTTTACGACAACTAATGTTCATCTCCATAGCCTTGTCATTTTGAACCCAATCCAGAAGACAAGGGAACTTTTGGATCGAGTATTGGGAGTAATTTGCCTTTATGGAGGACTTTTCAATGGAGCTAACGCGCATTTGCGTTACATGGAGAGGAAGACCACGAGAACCTTCCACGGTTAGCGTGATGGCAAGGTGACTCTAATCCATGATTCATCTACCACTGAGGATATTTCATCTCAGCACTGTGGTCAGTGCAAGCCGGATGCGGAATTTGGCTCGACTGGGATTCGAACCCGGTTCCTCTCATTGGAAGGCGAACGCTCTATCCCCTGAGCCATAGCGGCTCAGTTCTTATTGATCGTTCTTGTTGTCCACTGCCACATGTCAATACTGACAAGCCTATTTTGAAGGCATAGAGGTGTGCTTCTTCATGTTTTCTAGCGGAGCCACCGTTGGCCAAGAATTCAACTTCTGCCACACACATACGTCACAGCCAGTTAAACAGGGAGGACACATTTACACACCATCCGCAAATCGTAATTTTGACAAGAGTAAGATCACGATCAATCTCCGATCCAGTAATCCCAGAGGTATCGATTTGTTATGGGAACTTGGAGAACTTTGTGACCCCGACAGATTTAGCGATCTTCGGCAGATGGGGATTGAATTCACGACCTTCTTAGTGATTAATGTTTTTAGTGGATCATGAAACTTGATGATCATATTAAACATAAACATTAAAGACTGAAGTCACAAAGAATAAATTAATTCCTGTTGAAATAGGCTAGTTTAAAATTTACAAACCTATTTAGGTAGGTATTTTTTGTAATTTAAAGATGCAATTCATCCTTTCTTTTTTTAAAGTATTGGAAAAGGACTTTGAGGTGTAGTATGACGGATCCGTATCTGCCTTAGTGTAAAGTCTCGTTTCAGTAAGTACCAACAATGTTCGATAAGGAAACCCATTGAAATTTATGAATGATTTTTCAGAATAGTTACCAAAAACTCTTTATGTCAATCTGCATCATAATTCATGATCCCACAGAAGTAGACCAAATACATTGTCAACTGTTCGCATATTTGACTAAAACAATTCCTATTTAAAATTAGAATTAAACTTAACGTAATAACCATTAACGAAACAAAATTTAATGTAATTTATGTTGAATTTAAATAAATACATCTAATTATTTCAAATATTGAAAGAACAGTGTAATATTGAAGTAATATACACTTTCTATTACCACTAAGACCACTTTCTATTACCACTGTAAAGACCACTTTCTATTACACAAATATAAATGTAGAATGAATATGGCCAGATGCCCTGGCTCTGTAATTGGCTATCATTTTTCAAAGTTCGCTGGGACACAATTCTAATCAAAATAAGACGCCTCAATTTAATAACAGAAAAGGGCTCATCGATGTAGATAGAAATTGTACGTAAAAGATTTTAGAAAATGTGGCTCCATAAAAAAATGAATTGTTATTAGTGCTGTCACGAATTGATATGATAACAACGAAAACGGTGCCCTTGAAAAAAGTGATTAAACATAACGGCCTCTGGCAAGAGCTTTTTTCAAATATAAAATATACAATTCATAGTTAAAATTTAATTTATATTTACTTTTGTTAAATCGTAAATCATATTCTTGACTCATTAATAATTTTTAATTTGTAATATTTTATACATTGCAAAGAAAATTGGAAAAAGGTTGTAAGTGACATATTTGAAGCAATTGAAGTTTGTCAGATAAAACCTCATTTTTGTCTTATTTTAGAACACAACTTCAATTTACTTAGCTAAGTCTTTAAATTTCACAAATCTCAATGAAGGAAGACAGTGGGTGACAATCTTTGTATGTTTTTGGAGTAAAAGAAAGTTCTAGTGCATTTTGCATCAAAAAGTGAACAATTATTGATAGAACTCTTATTTTTGCAGCATATTTAAACTTCGAATGTGTGAACTGTGAAATATAATTCAACAGTTTTAATTAGTTTTAAGGAATAATAATAGGTTCTGTCAATCGGAGTCCTGGTGGCTCAAGGTATAGAGCTTTCTCCTCCCAATGAGATGGCCCGGGTTCGAATACCAGCGATGGCAGGTCGATAAGAATTCTCACACTGATTGCAGTGCTGGCGTAAAATATCCTTTGTGTTAGGCAGATCATGGGTTAGAGTCCCCTTATCGTCAGGCTAACCGTGGAAGGTTTTCGTGATTTCTCTCCACATGTTGCGCAAATGCGGGTTGGTTCTATAAAAGGATCCTTCACGGAGGCAAATTTCTATAATTACTTAAACCAGGAGTTCCCTTGTCTTCAAGATTGTGTCCAAAATTTCAAGGCCACGGAGTTGAACATTGATAGTCTTAAACTCAAAATCAGATCAGCTGTTTAACAACAGTTATAAAACGAAATCAAACCGAAAGTTTGTGTTCAAGGAATAAAAGATATGCATAATGCGTATTTAAAATTGTCAACGCATGAACTGTTATGCGGAAAAACTCAAATTCATTTAAAGATCATTCATATCCTCAGATGTTCCATTATAAATGCCCAAAAAACAGCATCTTCGGACACAAATTTGCAAGGTTTGTTATGTTAGACAGCGACAAAAACCGATATGAAGCATTTGTATATTTTATTTACCTTTCCCAGAGAATGAAGCCATTATCATCCATAGTAGGTACAACATGCTGTGGATTTATCTGCAATTAAAATATTCCAGTTAATTGGGGAGAAAATATAAACTACTAGAAACTTTGTAATACAATTTAAAACATAAATTTGAATTAGGAAATTAGATTGAAAGTTCTAAAATTCCTTTAATATTAAAATTTGACTGTTGTTTCAAAATATTTGCATGAAGTCACTGAAATATGATCGTTATATATGATGCATTAAACTCGGAAACTTTTTTTTACAAGTCCTGTCGGTACACAATGCGCGAAATTTTTACATGACCCAAACATCCCAGCTATGTCACTCAATATAATTTTTGAAGTATGTTCGATACATATCTTTAATTGCTAATGCAAGTTTAAGACATAATATTGGATGCTTTCTCTTGTTTAAGACATAACATCTTTAATGTTTTAAACTCGTTGTCGTAGGTGGGAGACCAGTGTCTCTTTAATATTTTTTTTCTGATACTCTAATTATAATCAAAAATATATTTTGGTATTTTCTAATTATAAAAAATAGAATAATAAATACTAAAAAAATATCTTTGATTATCGGAATTACATCTGTATTAAAATATAAAATCCAAAAAAAAAAAAAACAGTAGTTTGATAAATGTTTTTTTAATTTATATTCAAAAATTTATTAATGATTGATTTTGAAAATTAAAGAAATTTCAATGATGAATAATTGTTTCTCTTAAATCTAAATAAATGCAAACGAGAGCAAATTTGAAAAAAATATTATTTAGAAATGAGCCGTATTTGGAAGATTTTACATTTAGCATAGAAAAAGACACTTGTGTTTTATGCTGTATTTCATAATCATAAATTATTAAGAAGTTAAATATAATATTTTTCCACTTACTTTGACCTAAATTAATACAAAATAATAGAAAAATTACGAAAAATATGTTTAATAAAAATTCTGTGTCAAAGACTTAATTTATTCTGACTAAGGTAACATAGTATGAATTTTTTCACTCCCAGTTTTACTTCCCTATAAGCTTATTTTAGAGGAGTTGTCCGAATCATAATACTACATTATACATTTAAATTTTTATCAGTCACAAATTATTTCCAATTATGAAGCTGTTATTAAAATTCGTACTATCTATTCCTTAAACCGTGCCGACCTGGAATTATCCTTTATGATTAATATTTCAGCTGATGTATGTAAAGAGGACTAAGAGGAAAATTTTTAATTAATATAATATTACATTTCGTATTATTTTATATCCTTGCATATAATGTTTAAAAATTATATTGAAAGCTTGCTAAACCGATTAACTTCAATAAAAACTTAACGTATTTGCATAGAGACTCGATTCTTTCGCATGAATAATAAAGTTTCCTTGCTTATCTATTATAGAATATCCCGAATTCAATTGTTTTTTTTAGAAATCGGAAGCGGTACGTTTTGAGAATACGATTTATGTAACTATCTACTCAGTTTGAGACAATTGCAGTTTTTAAAGCCCCAAAGTTAATGCCCTACCATTGGAAGAAAATAACAATATTTGGCATCGAAAGGTAGATTTAAACACTGATACAAATCGAAAGATTAAAACAAAGCATCGATAAGTAAAAAGATTTGTTTTTTTGAAGGCCCCCCACTGAAGAATCCGACGATTTTTCTAAAAAATATGCTATAAAAAAAGAAAAGAAAAAAAAACTCGTTAAGCTTACTTTCTAACTACTCGTTAAACCACTCGCTAAGTCTACTTTTCTTCAAAATTATCAACAGAATTTACTTTTTACCGAAAATCTTCCTAATTAATGCTTTAAGTTTTCTGCGAAATTCTTAAAAGAATTTTCAAAGACTGAGATGTATGGCTGGATAAGGAAAATACTAGCATACGAAATGTATACTTGCTAAGCAGCTCTATGGTGCTGCCAAGGCCGGATTTACACGTATAAGCTAAATAAGCTGTAGCTTGGGGCCCCGAGATGACAAGGGCCCCCAGATCCCACTTTCCCCCTCTCTTTTTTTACAGTTTTATTTGGAGCTGGGGCCCTCAGAAGCCCAAAATGCATTTTTTTTCTTTTTTACGTACATTGTTGGACATAATAAATATAAATAAATGACTGAATAAAACAAAAAACTTCGTTGTCATTAGTAGGGAACATATCATCTTTCAAGCAATTTGAGTATTAATAAATTATTTATAAATAAACAATTTTTTAGTTTAAAAAGTAAAAATTTTTTTTCTTTTGCCCCATCATTCGATCATCAGACTATTTAATATCTGTTTCTAAGGATCAGAATTCCCTTTTATTTGACTTTAAAATTGTACAAATGATATATTTAATGCTTTCATGGATATGCAGCAGTTTTAAATAGCACTTTAAAACATCTAAAAAAGGACAGAAATTGTCAGTTCAAAAAATAAAATATATCTAATATAACTAATACTTTTGAATAAGAATTTAAAAAACTACACACGTTTGTTTTGCTGTCTCGTTCTACATACCATTATTTAGAGTAGACAGTTGCGTATGGCTGTGATGATGACGTAATAAAAGAGGTATACAAAAAAAGCAAATTTCATATCAGATAAAATCCTCAATATTACATTTTTAAACTCCTCGAAAATGTAGTAAAAGAGGTATACAAATTAACTGTCGCAAACAAATTAATATTAAGTAGGAACGAAACAAAAATGATATCGAAATACGCTGAGACCGGGATGAAAGACATCGAAACCTATTTGATTGAATAGTACAACTAGAAGGTGTTTCTAAAATTCTGAAATCTATCAGGCCTTAATTTTTTTTTCTGTCACAAACTTTATCAGTAATTAAAAATAATAAATTCGTTAGATTTCAATATTGGTTCTGTTTTTTCGTTGATTAAATGTTGAACATTAACATATATTTGTCTTTTAAAACATTTAATTCTATAATAAGATAATTATTCTACAATTGTAATTATCTAAAACTGATTGCTAATTGATATAAAGCTTCAGTATGTTCCATTGATATGTTGAATGCTCGTTTTGACTGGATGCCCGGGACTGCTGCTCTTTCACATCCTAGCCACTATACACCATCAAGAGCAGAGCTGATACTTTAAACCTGCATGACATTTATTCTCTCTGATATCTAATAGACCCTTTAATAAATCCTTAAAAATGTAAGCCAAAAATTTACATAAATAATGACAATTTTTCTTCTTGCACAAAAATTTAACAAATGTACTTAAAATAATTAAAAAGAAAGCAAAAATGAAGAAATATTATCAATATAAACATCAATTAAATAATATCAGCTTACGAAATGTTCTTTTTATTTTTACAAACAGTATTAATATAACGGCCCTCACCTACTCCAGGGACTGCTGGACTGGGTTTAAAATTACTAGGCTACGGAGTTGAATATTAATAGTCGTAAACTCGAAATTGGGTCGACTGTTCAACGACGGTTATAAAAGAAACTAATAAATTTGGCCGGAATAGCCTGGTTGATAGGGCGTTGGACTCGTGTTCGTGAGAATGGGAGTTAGAATCCAGCTGGCAGAAGAATAATTATGTATAAAATGGTGACTGGTTCATGTTAAATTTGTCGGGGTCGCAAAGTCCTCCAAGTTCTCGTAACAAATAAATACCTCTGGGTACTAATCTAGCAGTTCCCCTGTTTTCTGGATAGGGCTCAAAATTACAAGGCTACGGAGTTAAACATTGGTAGCCGTAAACTCAAAATTGAGTTCAACGGCAATTATAAAAAAAAAATAAAACTAATAATCAAATTGTATTTTCTTGTTTTCTTTCTAACTCTTTGCATATTTTCTACGCACATTCAAAATTTCATGTTTCTAAGTTTTATAGATTTTGTCACGTAAGGAAAAAACAATTGAGAAAAAAATTCGCGAAAAAATCATTAAAAATTGCAAATAAAATATATTTAAAATGCATCTAAAAAAAACTCTGTTAAATATATAGTGGCCCAGCACGCCAAATATTTACTCTGTGCTTAAAATGTGTTTCTTTTGTAATTTTTTTCCCCTCGTTCAAAAAATATGTGAAATAAAAGAAAGGTTCTACATAATAGTCTCATCACAATATATTAAACAATAAAGTAATATTATCAAATTTTTTAATAATATAATGTTAATACTCAACAATTAAAAATAATGACATCATGATTTTTAAAAATGATTGTCCCCATCATTTTTAGTAGCTTAGGGTCCCACCAAGCTTAAATCCGGCTCTGGGTGCTGCCACCAATGCGTTAATAATAGTTTTGTGCTCCAAAATATTTCAGGGTCATTTATTGAGGAATGCAGAACAATGGAAACTGCTGTGTTGAAGGAATAAAGGAAGTATTGTACTGTCTACGCTACGATGGTGTTCTCTCCGTTCGGCCAGCCACGAGATTCACAATTTAGCCTTCTCGGCTGAAATCTGTACTCAGTTGCATTGAACTAAGTAGCTTCATGAGGTGTTCACCGCACAATTAATTAGATAATTTTTTTTTATATAATCTTAAGATTTCTAATAATCTATAAGATAATTAGAAATTTTCAGATTTGAAATTAAAAAAATTAATCAGAATAAATAAATAGAATGAATTTGCTAATTTTCTGCAAAATTGCAATTCCTTTCAGATTTTATATTCTGCAGAATTTTTTTAAAATATAATTTAGACTTTAAAAATAGTATCAGAATTTATTTTTTCTCGAAGGCTTAAGAAATTAGCACACACACAAATTTCTCATTATTTCCTCTTAAGAAACTTGTGCATATACACGCATAATTTCAAANTAAACATCAATTAAATAATATCAGCTTACGAAATGTTCTTTTTATTTTTACAAACAGTATTAATATAACGGCCCTCACCTACTCCAGGGACTGCTGGACTGGGTTCAAAATTACTAGGCTACGGAGTTGAATATTAGTAGTCGTAAACTCGAAATTGGGGCGACTGTTCAACGACGGTTATAAAAGAAACTAATAAATTTGGCCGGGATAGCCTGGTTGATAGGGTGTTGGACTCGTGTTCGTGAGAATGGGAGTTAGAATCCAGCCGGCAGAAGAATAATTATGTATAAAATGGTGACTGGTTCATGTTAAATTTGTTGGGGTCACAAAGTCCTCCAAGTTCTCGTAACAAATAAATACCTCTGGGTACTAATCTAGCAGTTCCCCTGTCTTCTGGATAGGGCTCAAAATTACAAGGCTACGGAGTTAAACCTTGGTAGCCGTAAACTCAAAATTGAGATCAACGACAGTTATAAAAAAAAAATAAAACTAATAATCAAATTGTATTTTCTTGTTTTCTTTCTAACTCTTTGCATATTTTCTACGGACATTCAAAATTTCATGTTTCTAAGTTTTATAGATTTTATCACGTAAGGAAAAAACAATTGAGAAAAAAATTCACGAAAAAATCATTAAAAATTGCAAATAAAATATATTCAAAATGCATCTAAAAAAAAACTCTGTTAAATATATAGTGGCCCAGCACGCCAAATTTTTACTCTGTGCTTAAAATGTGTTTCTTTTGTAATTTTTTCCCCTCGTTCAAAAAATATGCGCAATAAAAGAAAGGTTCTACATAATAGTCTCATCACAATATATTAAACAATAAAGTAATATTATCAATTTTTTTAATAATATAATGTTAATACTCAACAATTAAAAATAATGACTGTTTTCTTAAGTTGTATAGAATTCAACTTTTTCATTTTTAGTAGCTTAGGGCCCCACCAAGCTTAAATCCGGCCCTGGGTGCTGCCACCAATGCGTTAATGATAGTTTTGTGCTCCAAAATATTTCAGGGTCATTTATTGAGGAGTGCAAAACAATGGAAACTGCTGTGTTGAAGGAATAAAGGAAGTATTGTGCTGTCTACGCTACGATGGTGTTCTCTCCGTTCGGTCAGCCACGAGATTCACAGTTTAGCCTTCTCGGCTGAAATCTGTACTCAGTTGCATTGAACTAAGTGGCTTCATAAGATGTTCACCACGCAATTATTTAGATAAAAAATTTAAATTTAATATCTTATGATTTCTAATAATCTATAAGATTATTAGAAATTTTCAGATTCAAAATTAAAAGAAATAATCAGAATAAATAAATAGAATGAATTTGCTAATTTTCTGCAAAATTGCAATTCCTTTCAGATTTTATATTCTGCAGAATTTTTTTAAAATATAATTTAGACTTTAAAAATAGTATCAGAATTTATTTTTTCTCGAAGGCTTAAGAAATTAGCACACACACAAATTTCTCATTATTTCCTCTTAAGAAACTTGTGCATATACACGCATAATTTCAAAGATGTATTACATTTTATATTAAAATATCTAGTTTTTTTTTGTCATGTTTATTTTTATGCACCGTTTCTTTGTTTTTTTGTTTGTTTTGTTTTCGCGAAAAAATGTGTGCATTTTTCAATATCGCAGAAAATAGTATGATTGTAATATCATCAGTTTTATTATAATCTAATATAGAAAGTTTTATCTTTCCATTCACGTTAATTATCTCCGCGTTTTTGCCCTGGTAAATGAAATAAGAGAAAATTAACATATATACCTATGAAAAACACATTTTTTCCCAAATGTTTAAGTCCCGTTTTATCTGAAAATATTTGAAGGCAAATTTCACTTTCTTCAAATATTCTGCAGATATTTTAAAGAAAGTGAAGTATTTAAAATTATTACGAAGCGTCTACGAAAAATCTGCAGAAGGCAAAGTAAAACCTTCAAAATTCCTATGAAATGTCCCCAAAAATCTGCAGATATTTTTTAAAAAAAGGCAAAATCATCAAAATATCTAAAGTTTCGGAAAAAAAATTCTTTGGATATTTTAAGTGGAGTTTGATAATTATTTTCAAAATTTGCCAGTTTTGATAAATATTGGATGGCAACACTTCAAACAAGGTCATTTTTATTAAATTTTAATTTGGCTCATTATGCCTTGGGGGCAAGCTATAATTTAAGTATTTATTAATACGAAGAATAAAAGGTATCAACTATATTTAAATTAGATCTGAAGAAAATTCAAGATTAAAAACAAATGCTTATAATAGCTGTAGTATTTATTAAATTAGTCTCTAAACGCCCGTTTTAATTTAATTAGGCTTAGTAAACTAGTTGCATTATGGTGGCTTTGGTTGTTTTACAAGCCCCATTTGTTGTTGCGAGAAGAATTAATAAAATTAAATGTAATACAACCCATCGAAATATATTTATAGCATTATATAATTATAAAAAATTTAATTATTTTTTTACAAATTCAAAAATATCAAAATTCTAGTAGAATCGGAAGTATTGGTAGAATCGAAATTATATCATATACCTATAGTATCGATACTTTTTCAATGTCAATCACAATCTACGGTTTGTTAGCTTATTTTTACGTAGAAATTGAATGAAATATTCAAATTTTTACTACAGCTAAAACTGTTCAAATTCGATAAAAATTGAGGTTTGCCGGTTTAATACAGTTTAACTGAGGTAACAGTTTAACTAATATTACTTCTTTCATTTCTTAATTTTGACCGTAAAGAAATTCAAACGATGCTATAACTTTCAATATCCCCTCCTCATGATTGTGTTTTTTCTTCTTTTTTTAATTTTGAAATTGTCTATTTCAAATACAATAAAAGATAAACATGCAACATTAATATGTTAATTTTAGATTTATTACTTTAACTTAGAAGAATAAATAAATAAATATAAATAAATTTTAGATTTTGACTGAAAAATTATAAATCTACAAATGCAATTAAAATTTTTTTTTTAAATAACTGTTATAAATTTATGTTGAAAGCAAATCAAAGTATCATAATTTTTTATAAAATAAATTAATTAAAGATATTTTTATTTCAAAGCATATTTCAGTACATGCTGAAATTATAATAACCATTAGAATTTTTTTTCTTCTTGATACTTCATAGAAAAAATGAAATTTCTTCTATACACATTAAATGAAGCAATACCCAAAATATTTTAAAAATTTGTTCCAAACGATCCTGATTTAATTTTTAAATTTTTTTTTGTTGTAACACCCGCTTTATATTTTCTCACCTATACTAATACACAGCAATTATTCCATCAATTAGTAATATAAATTCTATTTCTGAAGTATTATTAATATTTTTCGGTTTAATAATACTTTCTTTTCGTAATTACTACGAACATCGTATTTGCAACTTTATATTTATATTTGCAACTGTAAACAATTATATTTATGTACTATAGTAATATATATCTTTACAACTGTACGTTAACTGTATTAATTACTGCATACAACTAAAATTTTGAAAATGGAAAAATTAGTATGATACTCAAGCTTGCAGTCAACTCTTAAAGAATAATCGTGTGTTATTATTGTTAAAAAAAACGTACCTTTATAAATTCAGGTTTTAGGTGGTCACCGGTAGACAATTCCACTAATTTTGAATCAAATGCTATTCCCAAGTGGCCAAGAGTCAAACGAACTGCAGCACATGGAGGACTGGCGTCCATTCCATACAAAACAATGCCCATTTTTACTGATTTTAAAGTTTAAAATATCCGAATTATTAACAGAATTTAAAAGACTAGGATATGAACAGAATTTTTAGAACACAAAAGTCGTAAAGTTGAGTGGTTTAAAAGTGTTATCTACAACTGTCAGTTTTATCATTAATTCAGAACGAGAGTTAAACCATTACATGCATCAAAGCTCACTGACTGATTGCATTGAAGTGGGATGTGCCAGAGCTCTCTGAACAATCAGGAAAATGATAATTGGGTCGATGCCAAGAAAATGCCTGTGGCAACAATTTCATTGCGATGAACCTTGAGAAAGTAGTGTTCCTTTTAAATGGGATATCAGGTTTAAATAATGATAAGGTTTACAACTTTTTATAATCCGAATAAAAATAAAAAAAAACAGAAAAAATATTTTTTATTTTTTGTTGTTGTTTAAGTTAATCATATCCATTATCGTAGAGTATTGGTTATGCTTATTTTATCATCCAGCTCACCAATATTTGTTTTTTTTTTTTTAATCGCGGTAACGATATCGTAAAAAATATTTACCCGAGATATTGTGAATACCATCTCGTACGGTAAATATCGGACGCGCTTATATTACGCTTTTTATCGATAACGGCAATCATTGAATACGGTTGTCACGCGAGTATTAACGAAAATGATAAATACTGTGAGTATTTTATAATTTGGCCGGGATAGACAGGTCGGTTGGCCCCAGGTCCGAGAGTTCGTGAGTTCGAACCCCGCCGGTCGAAGACTCCCCGCGTAGTAAAGTGACTGATGCACGTTAAATCTATCGAGTCGCAAAAGTTCTCCATGTTCCCATAACAAATCCATACCTCTGGGGGTACTGAATCAATACAATGAATACTGGATTGCAGATCGATCGTTCTCTGATTCAGGTCAAAATTACGATCTGTGGATGAATGAATGGGTCCGCCCTATAAACGGGCGCGACGTATGGTGTGGCAGAAGTCGAATTCTTGACCATAGATGGCGCCACTGGAAAACAAGAACAATCGCACCCTCTCTGCCTAAACAGACATACGTAAACAACAACATTTTATAATTTTACTACCGTCGTTGAACAGCTGACCCAATTTTTGGGTTTACGACTGCTAATGATGAATTTTGTAGCTTTGTAACTTTGAACCCAATCCAGAAGACAAGGGAACTCCTGAATCAAGTATTGGAGGGAATCTCTTTCGTGGCGGACTTTTTGATGGAACTAACCCGCATTTGCGTTACATGGAAAGGAAGACCACGAGAATCTCCCACAGTTAGCCTGATGGCAAAGAGACTCTAACTCAGTGTTTCCTAACGTGGGGCCCACGCCCCTCTGGGGGGCAATTTGATTGTTAAGGGGGGCGATTCGAAAATGGACTCGACAAGGACTTCGAAATGGACTTTTACCCATTTGCTCCGGGCTATTTAAATACAATGCTAGATTTCGGTGCCAACATTGAAAGAAAAAAAGCAAATTCTTAAATATTTGCGGTCAATGAATATTATAAATTCGTTTGATGAGACCAAAATATCAGCTGGGTTTTTGGCCTCGTCAAGTTAACTAACCTCCCTGCGGCATATGGCAGGCTCCGCGTAGACCCTTGACGCTTTAAAATTTCGCAAAACAATGCAGTCGTTAGCATCTGAATGGCCCGTCGCAACTTCTGTAGTGTTTCACAACATTCAGTGATAGAAATCAATACAATAGTATGTCTTTTATGCCTGCAATGCAACGGTAGTCTTTATTTACTGCTCACACTTCAACCCATAATTGTATTCTTGAGGCAAGTTATGAAATTTCTTTATTCATCGCTAAATTTGGAAGAAATCATACTATAGGAGAGAATTAAATAAAACCGTCAATATCAGCATTTCTTAAAACGGTTCTTGAAAAAGATGTAAAAGCTATGCCACTCAATAACAATACTGTTAGCAGAAGAATAGACGAAATGAGTGAAGATATTGAAAAACAACTTGTTGACAAGCTAAAAACAAGAAAATTCTCAGTGGAAATGGATGAATCAACTTTGATAGACAGTGTGGCAGTATTGATAACTTACGTAAAATATATTAATAAAGGGCATTTTGCTGAAGAAATGTTGCTCTGTAAAAGATTAGAAAGCACCACTACCTCCAAAGATATTATATAATAATCTAAAAAAAACTACTTAGATGTCAATAATGTACTAATGAAAAATATAACATCTTGTGCTGCAGATGGTGCTCCTAATATGATGGGCAAGAAAAATTGCTACTTAAAGTTGATGAAAGATGAGAATCCAGAAATGATTCTTGTGCATTGTGTTATTGAATAGGGAATAAAGTTGCGCATAGGGAAAACTTGGTAGCTAAAAACATCTCGCCTGTTCTAAATGAAGTACTTACATTCAGTAATAAAGTGTATCGATGCTATTACAGCTAATGCCAAATGTGAGCTCCTCTTCAAGCTGTTTTGTGAAGAACAAAATGCAGACCATGTGAGACTTTTATTTCACTCTGAAGTAAGATGGCTCTCTAAAGGGAGCTACTTGAAAAGATGCATGGAACTGTTTGATACTCTTAGTGATTTTTTAAGCGACAAACCTGATATGAAGTATCTGTTAACAGTCGAAGGTAAAGCATTTGTGAGTTATTTAGCCGATGTCTCTGAGAAACTAAATATATTAAATAAGCAACTTCAAGGAACAAATAAAACTCTTGTTGATACAAAAACGAAGATATTTGGTTTCATTACCCTCATTGTGTTAAGTCTGAAAATAAAAACTTGGATCAGTTTAATTGTCCCAAAAAATTATGAGTAAATGATGCCGCTTTACTTGTTATTGTCGATCATCTGAAAATTCTATCGGCTGATTTAAAAGAAAGATTTTCTGATTTAAAACAAATAGATTTTTCAACACTGATGATGAAGCCAATGTTAGTGCATTTGTCTGTTACATGAAATATGCAGTATCAAGAAGAACTCTCAGAAATGCAAAATGATAAGTCAGTTAAAACTTTATTTTATATAAAAGGAGTGATGGCATGGCTTTGTGAGGAAACAGAAATCAAATAACCAAATTCAACCAAATATACTAGAAAACTATTATTACCGTTTCCATCTTCATATTTAGCTGAATGTGGATTTAGTGCTGTAAATGATTTACTGATAAAAAAAAAAAAGGAAATCGCCTGGATATAACACAGTGGGGAGACTTGAGGCTGAAGCTAACCAAATTGGAAACTAACATAAAATCTTTGTGCAGCAAGCATCAAGCGCAAGGATCTCTCTAAATTAAAATATTAAATTATTAAAGAGAAATCTTTATGAAAATTATTTCGAATTTGAATTTTAGTTTTTCATTATGAGTCGAAATTTTACTTGCTGTGTTTCGTCAAGAATTTCCTAGAGATTTCTCACTGAAACCTATCATTTATGTTTCTTATGTGAACAATTCAATTTTTTAATATTAAAAATTGTGTGTATGTCACATAGGGGGGCATAAGAATTGTAGAAAGGCTTGAGTGGGGCATGGCACAAAAAAGGTTGGGAAACACTTGCCAATAGTCAATCTGTCATAGTCAATCTGACTATGGACCCATAACCCAAACTGCAGAACATGGAATGGCTCACTTCATCCTCATCCAAAGAAAAAAAAATCAAGAAAGAGTAAGTCAAAGATCAAAAAGATACTGATTTCTTTCTTTGATAGCTACAAAATAGTCTTTGAGTTATAGATTTATGGAAAAATGGAGACAATTGTGATCAAATCTCCATTATTTTCTCTTTTATTACAACATCATGTGTTTTATAGATAAACAATCCGGTTAGTAAAATGAAAAAGCGCTTAGTGTGTCTTTGCTCCGGAGATATTTCTTCCTGTCATTCGTAGCAACGATAACGCCATCTGGTGTTTAACGGCAGTAACTCACTTGGCACTTTGAGTTCCTTTTTTTTATTGATTTATTTATATATTTCAGCAGTTTATGCTTAGTCATGATAAAATAAATAGCCACAGGTTATCAGCGACTTTATCACTTAACAAGATACTAAGGATCGTCTAACATTCTAAAAAGAACTCCTCTTTTTACTCGATGTGAAATCTAATCACAATCAACAGCTATTATTTGGAACAACGCCAAATTTATCTATTCCTTGTTTGGGTTAATAAAAAAGCCTGTTTATATACCTCTATTTCCTCTCGTAAAACACTAACGTCGTTCTGCTTGAAGAATTCTTAAAGTAAAATTGATAGACAGTTTATTTCTGTCTAGAGAAGGTATTAAATTCTGAAAATATCAAAGGTTCGTATGAGGAATTTAATTTGTTATTATTTCATAATTTTTTTTTCTCGATAATTAAATTTTTCTATTAACATCATAACCTTTCTCTTTTTCAGTGTTAAATTTTTGAAAACAATTAAGTAAACCTGTAAATTTTTTATAAGATCAAAACAAAATGGCTATTACCTTGTATGAAATGGCAGTAAGTCCACCATGCAGAGCTGTTCTCATGGTAATTCGACATTTAGGAATAGAAGTCAATCGCAAACATCTCAATTTACTCACAGGTGATCATTTAAAACCTGAATTTGTGAAGGTAAGATGTTTATTTTTAAATATTAAACGTTTCATGGTATCAGTTTCTAATATTTCAGGTGACTAGGGATCCAATAGCCTGCTCGCTGCCCTCGCAAATCCTCAGAGCTGCTTTTGACCTCTTCCAGATTGCTCAATAGATTTTGTCTTTTTATCTAGCTGTGCATAGATCCGATTTTATTTTAGTGCATTTTATTTCGCAATGATAGTAGTATACACTACTAATGATGCAAAAAGGACTGTTATAAAAAGAGTAGTAGGTTCATAAATGTTTCAATGACGTGAGTATTTCCCCATGTTAGCTACCACTTAAATCTTTAAAAAAATCATAATTCCGTAATTAAACGTTGAAGCTTTATATTACTAATATAAATATGAGACAAGTGGATGTGCTAGTTCTTTTCCCCACAAGATAAAAACCAAAAATAAAATAATAGTGTTTATGGTTTTTATGTTTTTGCAAAAGGGAAGTTTTATTTCCGAACGGTTTTAATGAGTAAATATGCGTTTTCCATTGCTTTAAATATGTATTCACTTGAGTAGCCAAAAACTTTTACGTATGTAGTGCTTTCGTTTTCCTCTGTCATTAGTGTTTCGTTTCGTATGTCATTAGTAACTATCACTGAATTTCCACTGGTTGAGCCTCGTCAGTTAGTTACACGGTCAGTTCGTGGTAACAACAGTGTAAAATATGGTAGGCAAAAAAAAACTAACGAAATTACAATGTTTTAAGTATTTACTGAAAATTTCCTTAAAATTGCTTAATTTTTTATTTATTACAAATCATAATTTTTATTTATTTCAATCTCTTTGTAGTGCGCTTTGCATTGCTATTCCAAAATACGAACGCTCCCAAGCCGCGCTTCAGGCCTGACGGGGCTGTTCTTAAAAATATGCGTAACGCTCAATGTGTTAACTTCAGCTCTGACTCTTACTTGAACTTATCATCCTTCTCTAACTTGCTGCTAATCATTAATTTAACGGTTACAATAGTTGACTTAGCTCGTATTAAACTTATACTAGACCCAAACTCCTATGCTCTTCGAATCCTTACAGTTAACTAGTTGCACGGTTGCTGCTAGTTCATTGTAAGGAGTTTAATTTTAGAAACTCAGCATTTAAATGCGTTTTATTTTCATCATGTCGGTCTTGAGAATGAGCTCTTACTTTTAATGCTCGAAATACTTTAACTTTTTTGACTTTAAATTCTTTTAAAGCAAATGAAGTAATTCCACTTACAAGTAAGTACCCAATAGATATTTTTATCCTTTATGAGATAAAAATGAATGAAAGCAGCTACTTTACAAAAAACACTGTAGATTTTATGTTTTGGGTTAATTGAAATCACTGAATGGTAGTGAAATTAATAAATACAAATATACTTGTAAAATAACTAGGCTTAATGATGCACAATATTATCTTTGATTATGGATCTTTAAACTACAAATGTCCTTGGATTTTTTTTCTTCAATCTGTCATTATCAAATGGTTTGATAAGAGAACAACACGTTTTAATAAGATTAAGTCTTGATTAAGCAATTTCTCAAAATATAATTTTTGTTGAGTTCAATTATAACAAAATAAATTTCTCTCCATTGTGATAAGACGGTTATAGATTATTTTGCGTATTGTTTAGAAGTTCAAGTTGTACTTTTTTTTATTTAAATTATTTCAAGAGTAAAGACCAAGGTTTTGAAAAAGATAAGATAAGGACTTCGTGATTAATCATTTTACTCTAATTATTAAAACTTCCAATAAGAAATTTTTTTTCCACTTTAAGATTATAATTTAATATCGTTTGTTGCTAAATGGGCAACTTTCTGAAATTTTTCAAGAACTAAACTTCTTGGCACTTTCTAAAAGCTTAAGTGTCGAAAATGACATGTTTGATTTACTACTGTTTGAACTTTTGGGAAAATGCGGACTCTTATGCAGCACATACGAATCTTCAAATTTTCCTATTAAACCTATTTTTCTGTAATCTCTTTAATGTTAAAATAAAAATCCATTGTTGCTGAAATCGCCATGCTAAACTCTCAGCAAGCGCTTTTCAATCCCATGACGAAAAGACTGTTAGAAGAAAATTTTCTAACATAAACTCGTAACTGCAAAAGTATTTCTGGAGATTTGGCGAAGGCAGCGAGTAAGGAGTGAAGCTTCCTGAAAATTTTGTGCAAAAAAAGGGAATTGTAACATTATTGATATTTATGATTTTATGTTACAATGATTTTATTGATATGTATGTTATATGCCCTAATTATTCCAGACTTATTGAACATATCAGGAGCCAAAACCGAATTTTTAAAAAAAAAATGGTAGGGAAAGGTAGAAGGAACAAATTGTTTGTACTAATTCTTATCGACCTAAATGTATCCAAATCTTAAAAAGTGATCAACTTGATTCCTCAAATTAAATCAAAATTAATACCTTAAAAATATCCTGAAGCTTCATTAAGCTTATACCACCACTTTTTGACTTTTTTTCCGCTTGTGGCCACCCTGGATGTACATTTTTATTTAAATAAAACTGACGCTATAATAACTTTTTTCAGTGAATTTAAGGGAATCGCATTAAAACAATAAATTTATGAAGAAAAAAAAAACCATCGGTGTACTGGAGGTGTTAGAAATACCTCCAAGTTTGAACCGCCAATGAAACAGATTTGATGCTTTGTACACTTACCATCAACAATGTTTTCTTTTACTGACACATCTTTTTTATTTCATTTTTATCGCTTCATCATTTACCAAGTAATATTCGGCCATCAAAAGCGTTCTTAAAATAAAAAACAAATTTATGAAGAAAAAAATAGTATATGTGGAATTACAAATGGATATTTCTTCCTGCTATATACCACTTTAACTCTAAAAAAAGTAAAGTGCTTTGAATTCAGATACATTATCAATATATTAGAGTCCAAATAACTATTCCGTTTCTAGAAATAATGTGTACTTTAGTGATACTGTGTGTACTTTTAATAATATTTCACTTGTATACTTTAGTGTTCATCAGTACACTAGTGGCACTATGTGTTGTGATGAATACAGGCATAGTACACTAGAAAAGACACTTTTTCTTCTCTGAAGAAATAAACCTTTTCTTTTTAAAATGACGCTATTCATAATGTGCTTAGTTTTATATCTTTATTTTTCACTAGGATTCTTAATATATTATATATTAAGGGAGGTGATAATGAAACACCTTTTTCAATTTTTGCTTCTTTTTGGTATTGCTCTAATTATCTTTATTTACAGCGCACAGTTAACCCTTCTTTCTTTCAATTAAATTAAAAAAAAATGATTTTTTTATATCTTCCTCATTATGAATTTTTATAAAATTTTTTTAGGCAAAAATTTAAAGTAAATGTAGTGTGATTTTACGCTTTTGTACTTTTTAAATTCATCTCAAAACTCATTTTTTTTATTTTCATAACTTAAAATATTTCATTTTGTGACCTTTTATAGGAAATGCCTATAAAAAATACTGTCTTATTCGTTGAAAGCATTGTTTTATCTTTAAACTATCAGTTTATTATAAAATATGCAATAAAGAAATTAAATTTTTTAATTTTTCTTAAATGATTTCAGCTAAACCCTTTACACCAAGTTCCAGTTCTTGATGATAATGGTTTTGTTCTTAGTGAAAGGTGAGGCACACCACTTTTTTAAAAATCTATTTTAAAAAGAGTAATTTAATATACAGGGTGTTCTGTATTTCTCACTCTTAAAGTATATTTTTAGGATCCTTGTCAAAAGTGAAGTCAAATAAGTATGTATTGTAGGAGTCGCTCATTAAGCGAGGAAGAAACAGAAACGGTATCAAAATATGTCGAACCATTAGTGAGGAAGATTGGATGAAAACATCTAAGTCTGTTTAATTGCTGGTGAAAACAGACAGGGTTTGAAAAGAGATAATAAGATGTACCTTCAAGTTTCAACAGACAAACAAGCTGGTTTTAATATTTTTAATTTCACTTTCCTGACTATTGTTTCGACAGATTTTGATAGCGGTTTATTGCTTCCTCGCTAATGTTTCTATAATCACCTTTCAACACTTAATGTTTTGCAAAAACAACGCGTATAAAGTAAACATAAAGTACAAAAATGAACATACTGTAGGTCGGTATAAACAAGGACATTCCTTAGCGTCTAACCCAGAATGGTATTTAGATACTGAAAAAGGTTCTTGTTTTTATAGAACCGGAACTATACTACGTTTATTTCGGTACTTTATTTGTGCTTTATTAACGCTGTATTTCTGCTTTAGCATACTAAGTACAAAGCAAATCTTATCCTCCTTTTAGACTTCTCTATTTACACCAACAATCAAACTGAGCTCGAAGTTTTCGAGCCCGCCTTCCTCGGTAGCGATTCGTTAGATTCCAATAATGCTTTTGCTTTTTTTTCCTCGCTTATATACTATTTTGCCACTCTAATGGCTATATTTTGACAAGGATACTGAATATATGTCTTTATACGAAGTACCTCGTATAACGAAGATATGCCGGGATTATTTAATTTTTATTCATATGTCTTTCAGCCGTGCCATCCTCACCTATCTGTGTAATAAATATGCTCCAGACAGTTCCCTGTATCCTAAAGATCCAAAGGTTAGAGCCATTGTAGACAGGATGCTTTATTTTGACTCCGGTACTCTTCATATGACACAAAAAGCCGTTACCGTAAGCAAAACATTTTGTTATCTTTTTATTTAAAATTGCGGATTATAAACACATTAACTATTTATGTGGTATGATAATCATCCCTTTCCTGACCAATGTGAATAAATAGTCTCCGTTAAACAAACATTTCGATTACTTTTTATTTAAAATTAGACATAATAATCACATTTACTATTCATGTGGTAAGATAATCATCACTTTCGTGATCAATGTGATTAAATAGCCTCTATAAACTAAACATTTCGATTTCATTTTATTTAAAATAACTGATAATAATCATTTACTATTTATGTGGTAAAATAATCATCATTTTCCAAGATCAATGTGATTAAATAGTCGACACATAGTAATCATTATATTTAGGATTATTTTACTCGTGGGGAATATCTTTTTCTCTTTTGCATGGTTTTTTTTATTAACGATTCTTAGATATTTTTGAATCGTTGCAATCGGTTCCTCCTTCCAAGATGCATATATTTTTAAAAATCGACATTTTTGGTGTAATTTTTGTCGAAATATTCAAGTTTGAAGACTTTATATATAAAAAGCGGTCGCATAAATCTTACTGCAAACATCTAGGGAAGTTCGGGAACATCATCAGAATTAAAACGTATAGGAACACATGCCTAGAAATGTCGGAATGTGTTCACTAAGGGTTCTTTTCTATTATAAAACTGCCTCTTCGTACGCTTTTCAATCGATCATAATAGGGAATCACCCCTATAGTTTACGATCGCATTTTCGGGCATGGGTTCTAGTGTAATTTTAATCATAATAATGTGCTTTAACTTCGCTAGAAGTTTGCTGCAACCTTTGAGCGACAGCCTGTTACACATATATATAACGTCTCTAAACTTGAACATTTCGTTTAAAATAGACTAAAAATTTTATCTTAAAAGAACTGTAGCTTCAGAAGCAAAAGTAATTTCAGACACTTTAGAGTAGTTACGAAAAAACATTTTTGTTGAAAAAAGATCAAATCAAAAAAGTAAGTTTAAAATGTGCCTTCCAATAGAATAGCAATTCTTTTAACCTTTCTTAACTTTCTAGTAAATCCTGATACTGATGTCACATCAGTTCAGTACTAAAAGGTTTCCATCACGTTAAAAACGCTCTGAATTTTTTTTGTTGAGCATGTAATAAACTATACTCTGTTGCAAGTTAAGAAAAAAAAAAACCTTTATCCCTATGAAGAAAGCCTTTTTGCATTAAGTGCACATTAAATGGATGCCAAGCTCCAAGCGCGAATGTATATCAACATCGCCAACTTTTGAAACGACTTTGCCCAGCCTCCTTTTTGCTTTCTTTCTTATTAAAAACAATAATCAATTAACAAGTAATGAGAATTATTAAAAATGACATAAAATCGTAAAAAATATTCTTCTTTCTATCTGCATTTAAGAAAACGATGAAGGAATAATAAATATTGTTCTTGCCGACGATTTTCTTCAACAGCGAATCAAAAATATAAATTCGTTATCTCGCATTTAGTTTGTTAAGAGCATAAGACGAGCCATTTTTAGTGGTCCAATCTAATCCAATGCTCTTGTAACGCCATACAGTCGTTTCTTTTTCAAGAACGAATGTTCTCTTTATTTATCGCAATATATCGCCAAGTGCAGGATTTCAGTAAGATTACGAAACAATAACCTCTTTTTAAAAATAATTCTATAATATTTATTGTAAATGATAGCATGAATTAAATTTCTGTCTGACGTGTTTAACTTTTAAAAGCTTTATATTGCTTTTAAAACATATTTGTATAATTTTGTGGCGTATGAAATCATCTGCTCCAGAGTTGCATTATTTTTTATATCTGCTTGGCGATGATTTTATTCGCCACAGATTCGCCAGTGACTGAAGATACTCGAAGAAACGATATAACCACTAGCGCAGAATATGTGACAAGAAAAGTACAATGGATCTAAATAATAATGATATGAAAATTGGCAAACTTAGCATAACAGAAATTTAAAAAATGCTATTTTTCAAAACTATTAACAAACATACATATTTTCTCTAACTAAACTATTTAGTTATGTATGTCTCTAATTTAGTTGGAAATCATATATGACTGCCAGATCTTGCGCGTGCAACAGTTAGTGGTTGTTTGGCTGTCTCGTTTGAGTCTAAGGGGAGAGTTTATCGTCTATCTCAACCTTCCATGTATCAAAAGGTGCCTCTAGATAGTATCAAGTTAACATGTCTAATACATTAGTTATTTAATATTTATAGTGGTAGTTAGCCATAATTTGAATAACGAAACAAAGCAGAACTATATGCAGTCGGGAATGATTACTTAAATTCTATACCGCGATGGTCTTTTCTTAACTTGCAACTGAGTATACCGATAAAACTAAACAAATAAGCACAGATTAATATTTTAAAAATATTTTTTAGAGACCAATAATGTTAACAGGGAAATCTGCAGGCGAAGAGCAACATGAAGCTTATCGAAATGCACTGAGATTCTTTGAAGAATTCCTTTCAAGAACTTCTTACGCTGCTGGAAATCATATCACTCTTGCAGATTATTCTATCTTTGCCACCCTCACAATGGCTGAGGTGAGTAAGCATTAAGCCATAGCTTTCACCAATGCATTGGTAAAAGTAAAAATAAATAAATAAATCTGCAAAAAATCTTAAAGTATTTGTAACATATTTTGTTTTTCAGAATTTTTGCGAAAAGAGAATGTAGAAAATTTAAAAAAAAATCATTTCTCAGGTACCTTTAGGTTTTCTGTAGAAAAAGATTGTGGAAAATTTTGGAAATCTTAAGAGGCATATTTTCTTTAGAGTTTTTGCAGGAAAAGATTGTTGAGAATTTGAAATAATTCGTGTTTTACATATCTTCAGATTTGCTTCATAAAAATTATGTAGAAAATATAAAGAAAAAAAATATATATGATCCAAAAACCTATTGCTCTGCAGATTTTTTTCCGCAAAGTAAAAACTTTCTAACGTTTTTTTTAACTAAAAACATTTTAAAAATATTTACATGAGTGAAAATGTAATTACGAATTTTATTTGAAAACAAAATAATAATAATTAAAAATAAGCTCAAAAATATCGATACTTCGGTTGGTCCTTTAAAGAATGGGTACGTAATTTTAGAGAAATAATTAAACAGCAAATAAAAATTTATAAACTTTTTTTTCGCAGGAGTTAGACGCTTATTAAAGTAGAATACAAACTCAATTCGAATCAATTACACTTATTTTCAGGTAATAATTATTTGTTTACACAAAATTAAATAACTCTTAAAAAAATGCGGATGAAACTATCCGTATCATTTAGAAACTTTCAACATAATAAAATATAAATATTTGTTGTTCTATTTTAGTCAAACCAATCATCACTAAAAAATAAAGTTAAAAAAAGGAAAAATTGGTAGCAAGTTTGAAGAAGATGTCAAATAAATACTGAAAGAATTCATAAAAAAAGTTTTATCATATTTATGCTCATATAATTTAAGTAGAATTCAAATATTAAATAGTTTCAACCACACTTATTTTCAGACAATTAATTGTTTACATAAACTCTATATTTTTTTAAAAAGAACAACAACTTACTTTGGTCTTTAAAAATATCTCGCAGAAGATATTGATATTTATAACCAACACTGAAGAACCGTTCCAATTCTGAGTTTATGATTATCTATGTTCAACTCCACAGCCTTGAAATTTTGAACACAACCCGGAAGACAAGGTAACTCTTGGATCAAGCATTAGGACAAACTAACCTTCGTGATCTACTTTTTGATGGTACTAACCCACATTTACGTTACATGGAGGAAAAAACCGTGAAAATCTCCCTCTGTTAGCCTGACGACAGTGGGATTCTAATCCATAATCTGTCTAGCACTGAGGATATTTTACGTCATCACTGAGGTCGAAGGGAGCCGGGAGCTGACTTCAAATCAATTGGCCACCGCTAGGATTCGAACCTGTGCACCTCATTGGGGGAAAACGACCTCCCTTCCTCCCCATTTTTTATTTTTAGAAATTTTCTGTTTTTTTTTCTTCCGGCAAAGATGTTAACAGTGTCTGAGTAAGTGTTGTAGTAGTGTGAACTTTATGTAAAGCATTGCAATTAAATAAAAAACAATATCGGATTATTTTCATGCCAAACTTGTTTTGAATTCAGTCTTTTATATTTTCAGGCATTTAAAATTAAATTTGACGACTATCCCAAGGTTTCAGCTTGGATGGAAAAATTAAAATCTGAAGTACCTTCACACAAGGAACTAAATGAAGAGCCACTACAACAATTAAAAGAATATATGAAATCTAAAAATTACATTTAGCAACTTTGTTCAAAGATAGGCATTCTTTTCAAAAAATAAGAAGCTATTCCTTTTTTGTTCCTACATTTGATATACTTGAAATTGTAATTTAATTTGCTAAATAAAGTTCCACAATTTATTGTAAGATTAAAAGAGTTTTTATTCGAAGAATACAGTATTAGTAGTTTGCCATTGATATTCACTGAGTACAGTGACGAAAAGGGCACCTCGCGATTTTCCAATCCAGCGACCTTTAACGACCCACTTCCCTGTTTAGTAATTTTTAAGCTCCAAAAATGAGGGCGAGTCGTTAAAGGCCACTGAATTGTAAATTAACATCCAAGACGCAGCTTCATTACATAATATTCCATATTAATGTGTATAAAAAGAACATGTTATTCCTTATTATAAGTAATAAATAAATTTTAAATTAATTTGCTTATTTTAAAGCTTAGTGGGAATTACATATCATTTTAGTCATTTTTCTACAAATCATTTCAGTGAGTTTCTCACATATTATTTTAGTGAGGGTCATCTTAAGAGAGTTTTCCACAAGGAAAAGACAAAAAAAGTATTTTTTTAATACAAACGTCAATTTAGGAAATATCGGGTAAAAGTATTCAGGAAAAACGATATGAAGATTAAAAAAATCAGTGAAGGAAAAACTAAGCTTGCCTATACAGCGATGTGTAATTAGCGTGCTTTTTTATTATAATTATCAAAAGACGTGATTATTATTAATAATTACAGGATTAACTGAGATAATAAACTATTAGGAATGTGTGGGTTTTAGCCCAGTTTATGCTTCCCTGACATTCTTTACTGTACTGCTTAGGTATAAGTTCATTGCCCGGCATTTCCTTCACAAATTTTTTAAAATGAATAGCTGTTGTAAAAATGTTTAGACTTGCCTAGTACTTCACACTCAATTATTTTTAGGTAAAGGATCGTTGCCCGGAATTGATAAAACATATATTTCCGTCTTTAAATATTTAAACCGAAAATAACTAATTATTTTGTTCCTGTCTTGAAAGAAATGAAGCATAACCCTCCTCCTTTAAAAAATCCACAAACATTGGGAAGTTGCTTGGAATTGGAAGGCTTGTGACGTTTAGACACTTTCGAAACATTAAAAAAAAAGCGACTGTTGTTGTTAAGTTTCTCGTCTGTCAAACCTAATAAAGATCTTCGGGAATGCCCGTCATAATATGAGCTACCTTATCTTCTTCGCTCATGCTAGGATTTCAATGCTAGGATCATGCTCCTGTTAGGATTCATGCACAATTTTTATTTATGAGAGATTTGCTTCTCCTGGAAGTTGAGCTATGATATTTAATTCTTCTTCAGCACAATATACAGAAGCAGGCTGCGCTGATTGCAGTCTATAACTGATTGCAGGCTGTTAGGGAATATACCTCTCAAGCAAGTTTGGAGTATTTCCAATGATGTTAAAAAAAAACTCATTATTTTTTACCATTTCATTATTTTTACTACGGCCATCGTTACAAAATGAGGAATTAACAAATCACATGGCGCCCTCCAAACGGTTTTATTTTGCAACTCTATAGAATTTTTTCAACTATTGTCCTAGACATTGATACAATTCCCCTCAAAAAGTAAATGGATATTTAATGTGTGGCAGAATCGGTTGAGTAGCAGATGATTCAGGTTTTTCCAGATATTTTGGGCTTCAGCATTATAAGTGTTTACTCCTTCTCAGATCGCCAGGATCAAGACAACTGGGTGTCCCCTTGAACAATCTACTTGATTCACGTGTCCACTTGATTAAATTTCCCAGAAAAGGTAGATGGATATTTAATGTGTGGTAGAATTAGTTGAGTAACAGATGATTCAGGTATTTCCAGACATTTTGTGCCTGAGCCTGAGAAGTGTCGACTCCTTCTTAGATCGTCAGGAACAAGACAACTGACGTGTCCACTTGAAACACGTGAGCTAATATGGATTTAAGTAACAGAAATGATGTAATAATAAGTCTGGAAAACATAGAAATAAGGAATAGATGCTTAAACAACACATTTACATATTCTTCGAACTCTGGGGATCAATCGTTTGCGTGCAAAAAATAAATAAATAATAAATTGTATTTTTTGAATTTTTATTTCCCAGAGCTATTCAACAGATTTAATTCAAATAATACAATAATGCATATTACAGTAATAATAATGATGTATGTACATTCCATTTATAATCCAATGGCGTTGTTATTATTTAACAAATGCGGTTTAAAAAGAAAAAAAATTAGTTTAAAGGTAATTCTTAAGAAAATTTTAAGATACTTTTTGCATTAAATATTCCCTACTATATTTGTACGCAACAGAGTTACAGGATAAAAATGATCAGCAGACCTTTTTTAGAACACTCATTTTTTTATTATTATTTTTTGATCTGTTGCCATTCGCAACTCTCATAAAAGTAATATGAATAGTCATGTGACATATGATGTTCCTACAATACTCCCTCACCAGTAACTAAGTTACGATGCTTGGCAAGTATGTCAAATTTGTCATATAATGACATTATATGTCAGCATATATACAGTTCAAAAATTATACTACATAATGACTCATCATAATACGAAAACATATATACAAGATATTAATATAACATATATACAAATTATACCATTCTAGTTTCAATGCAATAAAAAATATATATATAAAATAAATGTATATGTATCTAATTAATACAGTTTTGTTCTAAAAAGCGAACAGGCTTTTTTATTTTTCTGCCAAATCTAGACATTTTAACATTTTGCTCGGAATTGGCTGCATTTTCTTGTAATTTATTTGATGTTAAACATTCGTTAGGTTTTGCAGCTTTTAGGTTTTCATCGTAATCTGGATTCTCATTTTCAGAATTCAGTAGATAAGCTGGTTTAAGCCTGTCTATTGAAATGCTTNGAAGCCGCAATCTTCCAGTATCTGGACAAATGTCGATGAGTTTGCTAATAGCGATTTTATGAGACTACTTTTATGTGACCGAATGGCAGGTTAGACAGGTTTAAAAAGCGGAATAACAGAAATTCAGGAAAAATTATCTGAGAGTCGGGAAGTGTTTCCATAGCTGATGTTGAGGATTGCTTATCAGCTAAAGATTACTGATTTTTTTTGTACGCAAGACGAAGACTAATGAAAAATAACACATTTTTGCTACTACATAATATTTTTCAGTCATTTATTTGAATAATGTGTAATAAAAGGGAGGAGTTTGAGAACCATTAGTTAAATTGCCTGCGTAACGGATATAGTGAACTCCCGGTTATAGTGAACCGAAATTTCGGTCCCTTGAAGGTTCACTATAGCAGGGTTTGACTGTATTCCATATTAATGTGTATAAAAAGAGCATGTTATTCCTTATTAATATGTAATAAATAAATTTTAAATTTATTTGTCTATTTTAAAGCGTAGTGGGAACTGCATATCATTTTAGTGATTTTTCACATATTATTTTAGTGAGGGTCATCTTAAGAGAGTTTTCCACAAGGAAAAGACAAAAAAATTATTATTTTTTATACAAAAGTCAGTTTAGGAAATACTGGGTAAATGTAATCCGGAAAAACGATTCAAATATTAAAAAAATCAGTGTAGGAAAAACTAAGACAGCGATATGTAATTAACGTGCTTTTTTTATTATAATTATCGGAAGACGTGATTATTATTAATAATTACCGGATTAACCGAGATAATAAACCAGTTTACGCTTCCTTGACATTCCCTACTGTATTGCTTGTTAAGTATTAAGTTCGATGCCCGACATTTCCTTCACAGATTTTTTAAAATGAAAAGCTGCTGCTTTGTTTGGACTTGCCTAGTACTTCACACTCCATTATTTTTAGGTAAAGAATCGTTGCCCGGAATTGATAAAACATGTGTCTTTAAATATCTAAACCGAAAATAACTAATTATTTTGTTCCTGTCTTGAAAGAAATAAAGCATAACCCTCCTCCTTTAAAAAGTCCACAAACATTGGGAAGTTGCTTAGAATTGGAGGGTTAGTGACTTTTAGACACTTTCGCAACATTCAATAAAAGCGACTGTTGTTGTTAAGTTTCTCGTCAGTCAAACTTGATAAAAGTCTTCGGGAAAGCCCGTCATAATATGAGCTACCTTATCTTTTTCGCTCATGCTAAGATTTCAGTGCTAGGATCATGCTCCTGTTAGGATTCATGCGCAATTTTTATTTATGAGAGATTTGCTTCTCCTGGAAGTTGAGCTATGATACTTAATTCTTCGTCAGCAATATATAGAAGCAGGCTGCGCTGATTGCAGGCTGTTAGGGAATATACCTCTCAAGCAAGTTTGGAATATTTCCAATGATGTTAAAAAAAAACTTATTATTTTTCAGCATTTCATTATTTTTATTATGGCCATCGTTACAAGACGAGGAATTAACAAATCACATTGCGCCCTCCAAACGGTTTTATTTTGCAACTCTATAGAATTTTTTCAACTATTGTCCTAGACATTGATACAATTATCCTCAAAATGTAGATGGATATGTAATGTGTGGCAGAATCGGTTGAGTAACAGATGATTCAGGTTTTTCCAGATATTTTGGGCCTCAGCATTATAAGTGTCTACTCCAGTGATTCTCAACCTTTTTTTTGTGACGGCACACTTTTAACGATTTCGAAATTTGACGGCACACAATGAAAAAAATTAGTTTAAAAGTTATTTACTTAACTATAATACACTGTGTTAAATAGTTTGTGATAATAATTTTGAATGTGAAATAAAGTACTACAAAAGCACATTTATTAAGGGATTAATTATTTCTTTCGACTAATTTTTTATTAGTTAATAACAGTTATTTATGTTTTTTGCTAGTTATTAATTGTTCGCTTGTTTTCTATAGCTAGTTTTTTTGCTGATTATTAATTCTTGTCAACTAGTGTTTTTGCTGATTATTAATTGTTAGCTTATTTTTTGTTAGTTTTTTTTTATAACTTTTAATTGCATAGCTTACTTTAATGATTAGCCTTTATTTAAGTTTGAAAGTTAATATTTAGCTTTGCTTTCCTTTGATAATTAATAATTTTAATGATCATTAAATTTCCTACTTATTTCAACATTTTTTAAAATTGTCAACGACAATTTAAACACTTCCTTCTTATTTTAAGATTGTCAGAGACAAGACAATCGCTGACAAAGATGTTCCCGCGGTTAAAGAGTGGAAAAATTATAATATACACTTTTCTTTAATTTAAACTTTACTCGTAATTAAAAAAGCATTATAATTTTTACTGTATCATTTCTAATATTTGGCGGCACATTTTAAGAATTTGGCGGCACACAAAAGTGCCGCGGCACAGTGGTTGAGAATCACTGGTCTACTCCTTCTCAGATCGCCAGGATCAAAACAACTGGTAGTGTCCCCTTGAACAATCTACTTGATTCATGTGTCCACTTGATTTAATTTCCCAGAAAAGGTAGATGGATATCTAATGTGTGGTAGAATTGGTTGAGTATTGATGATGGTTGAGTATTGATTGGTTGAGTATTGAACAGATGATTCAGGTATTTCCAGACATTCTGTGCCTCAGCCTAAGAAGTATCGACTTCTTCTTAGATCGCCAGAAACAAGACAACTGGCGTGTCAACTTGAAACACTTGAGATAATATAGATTTAAGTAGCAGAAATGATGTAATAATAAGTCTAGAAAACATAGAAATAAGGAATAGATGCTTAAACAACATATTTACATATTCTTCAAGCTCTGAGGATCAATCGTGGTTCCTTTCTGTCTCGCTAGGGTGAAGACTCTAACAAAAAACGACTCTCTAAAAATGAAATCGTTTGCGTGCAAAAAATAAATAAATGAAAAATTTTATTTTTTGAATTTTTATTTCCCTGAGCTATTCAACAGATTTAATTCAAATAATACAGTAATGCATATTACAGTAATAATTATGATGTATCTCCATTCCATTTATAATCCAATGGCGTTGTTATTATTTAACAAATGAGGTTTAAAAAGAATAAAAATTAGTTTAAAGGTAATTCTTAAGAAAATTTTAAGATACTTAATTTAAACTTAATTAATTAATTTTTTACTTAATTAATTTTAAGATAAATTTTAAGAACAAGAAAAAAAAGTGTTTACTATTTTGCATATTGACTATATTCTCCGTCGTGTTTCGTATTCTCAACGGCAGAGGGAAGTATTTGCGAATGTTTCTATTTCCGGTAGTAGATTAGCTTTTTTTGCACTATTTTTCGACTTATTTTTTTAATATTTGTGTATGCAACGACAAACGCAACAACAACGCGCGTTGTTATTTGAGACAAATGACTGCTAGCAGAACAACATGATCATCAGTTGCACCGGAGATTTCTTCAGTGTAGCATGGTAACGTTCCTTCTACAGTATGGCTTATTAAATTTAAAAACGAAAAATATTTTCTTTCTTTTGCAGGCGAGTACAAAATGGAATCGCTTTTTTTAGAGAAGGAACATCCAAACACACCGGAAATATATTTGCAAGTAAAGAGAAAAAAAAATAATACGTATCTTATCTTCTTATTAGAGTTAAAACATAATGCTTGCGAAATGATTCTATTAATTCTAATGATCTAATATGAAAGGTTTATTCAAACGTTATCTTCCATACTTTTCTAAATCATATTACTTCAAACATTAAAATACGCAAAAATTATGCAGAAACGCATAATGTTATATAATTTAATTTTGCAAAAAAGTTTTTTGATAACAAATTTTTATTAAAAAAATTTAAAATATCAATAAAAAAGGATTATTTATAAACTAAAAAGCGTAAACTAAGGAACGCTTACAATGAAAAAAACGATTCTGAAAATTCCTAATATTAAAAAAAGAAAAACATCATATTGTTTTATTTTTTATTTATTTATTTTTTAAGACTTAAAGCTCTTAATTAGACGTAGAAAATCATTCTGTAGAGAACTATCATCAAATTAGAAAGAAATTAGTTTGCAAGTAAATTTTTTATCATAAAAATCATAACACTTACTTCCTTTATAAATCTAGAGAATTCCAAAATAAAATGTTGTACGTTTGAAAATTTTAGTCTCAAATAGCATATATACAGGTTATCTCTTCATTACTTTAAGATGACCACAATTAAATTTTATAATTGCGAGATCTCGATATGAAATTCAATATGTAACTTAAAAGCAGAATGGCTGAATTCTAGTTAAAATTAATCATTCAAAATTAAAAAAAAAATTTAACAAGAGAATGATTAAAATTTAATAATCAACACAAATTGTACTTCCTGAAGTAACACGGATGATTCTTTATTGTTGCTTTCCGAATTATATAGATACGGAAATATATATTACTTTACGAAGAAGAAGAAGATTTTATAAGTATTACAGTTCTGCACGCTCTGAAATCACATTTATTCATTGGAATAAAGTAATTAATATGGACTTCACTTTAATTTACGATGAACTGAAGACAATAATAATAATAATAATAATAATAATAAAAAAACGCATTTTCTGTCATACACACATCTGTAACAGTATGCGATCACGAAATATCGGAAGAGTCGGTTTCAAATTTGTTGATAATAGAAAGGAAAAAAATTACTAAGAAATTGTTTTTCAAATGTTGGACGTGTTCTATTTTAGAATGATTACCAATGCTCTGGGTCGTTTTTTCAAGTTCTTCTGCATTTTCCTTAGGGAAATCGTGCTTCGTATTTGTTGTTGAAAAAAAGCGCTCTATTATGCCAATGATTCTGATTTAACTAAATTAAAACTTAATGAACAGTAGCCTGATAATATCCACCCCGCTAGAGGGAGTATTTAAGCGTTGAAATTGCAAATAATTATTTATTATCGATGGCGAAAAATTCGCTTGCAAGTGCCGGCAGTTGTTCTGAAAATAAGATCAGCTTATTATCTGAAAATAAGATCAGTTTTTTATGAAAATAAGATATTTAAATTTCTTAAAGTTTCATCCCGCCGAATTAAATGGAGTAATGCGTTAAGAAGGAAAGACGGGAAAAACAGAAATAGTCACGTTCTATAACGTCGGAGGATAACAGCAAGATTTACTGCAGGTTTTTTTTTGTTAATTAAAAAAAGATAGAAACTCTATGAGAAAATACATTATTTCGCTTTCTGGAACGAATTGGGTATAATATGAAAAAAGTACAACTGCTTCCACTTACTAGGAATAACATTTACCTTTTAGTTTAATTAATAAACTGAGTTTTAAATATGTTTACTAAATTCATAAACTTCGGTAAAACAACAATATAAGTTATTTCCAAAGGAACTAGACTAATACAATTCCAACCTGTAGCGACTTATAACAAGACACTTCGTTTGATGCTTTTACTTGTTGCTAGAAATCAGGTTCGCAGAAAATGCTGTTTACTAGTTAAATTTAGTAGGAATAACACGATCTGTGACGTAGGCTATAGTATACCCAATTGTATAGGTACATGATGTCACATTAAAGACAAAGAACTATATTTTGCCAATATCTGGAAGGAATGCCGATAATCATGGCACTCTTGCTGTTCTTACCATCAAAGAAAAATAATTGATTCTTCGATTAATCAGATACGTGAACGAACTATACGAACGAACATTTATGTAAGCATGTAAAGCAAACAAACATAATAAGTGAGAAGATTTAGTGAGTGTTCTTGTTCCTGTCCTTGAACTGAAAAGTTATTTTTAAGAATCAAATGTCGCCGTTGACCTCAAGAAAAAAAGTTATTTTTAGGATTAACCTGATATCTTATATCTTCTCTCTCTCTCTCTCTCTCTTTTTTTGCTATACTCTGTTATTCTGGAGAGAGCCTGTTTACATCTAAGTATAAGCCAAATGGATGCCAAGTTCTCAGCGTATATTAACATCGCCAATTCTTGAAACGACGTTGCACAGCCTTCTTTTTGCTTGGTTTCTTAAATCGTCTGTAATGACGAAAACTATATTGAATAAAAGCTATTTTGTTTCTCGTAAAATTAGAGTTAATTATATTCAAATAATACTTATTTAAATAATACTTTCTGTTCGCTTTTAAAGAAGCCGAAGAAAGAATAACAAATATTGTTTCTTGTAGACTGATTTTCTTCTACGGCGAAGCAAAAGAAAAAATTCTTTGTCTCACATTTGATTTGTTACGGCATGTCAACATAAGTCGCACCATTTTTAGCGGTCCAATCAAATCCAATGTTCTTGCAACGTTTTATAGTTGTTTCTTTTTCAAGAACGAATGTTTCCTTTATTTATTGAAATATGCCGCCAAGTCTAGGATTCCAGAAAGACTTCAAAACTATAACCTTTTTTTAAAAAAATAATTCTGTGATATATATCGTGAAGGAATTGAATTTCTATTCGGCGTGTTTAACTTTTAAAAGCTTTTAAATTGTTCTGAAAGCATATTTGAATAATTTAACAACGAAATGAAACGGAACTATATGCAATTGCGGATGATTATTTAAATCCTATACCGCAATGGTCTTTTCTTAACTTGCAATCAGGGTTGCCATGCGTAGTATTTTTATTACTACAGTAGTATTTTCGCACTAATAATAGGGATGGGGTATTATTCGCAGATTTTTTTTTTTAAAAGTGGCCTGTTTAAGTGTTTTTTTTCTTTTTTCAATTTTTAAATCAAAGAGCAGAAGTGCCACTCTAGTTTTGAAGTAAAAAGCAATTTTTGAAATAAGCCAACGGTATACACGACAAAATTGCTGAATTTTTTTACCAGAAGTATAAGTGCATAAAAGGGAAAAGATAATTGTTTTTCTACTTTAGTATTATTATATTCTAAGTTATATATTCTTTTATTTTTTACCATTAATAATTTCTGTTAATTATAATTTCCTTCAATTTATTTTTTCCCTTTAATTTTTATTTTTTTCCTTTAATTATTTTTTTCCTTTAAGTATTTTATCATTTTTAGATTATTTAAACTTCTAATTAACTACTGTAGATGGCGCTTAAAAATATGCAGTATTTAGTAATTTTTTTAGATTAAGTTGTATTTTTTAATTTCGCAATATGGCAACCCTGCTTGTAATGGAGTATAGAATTGTTTTAGAATCGGTAAGAACGTGACTAAGTAAAATCGCTGAATATCTATTTTTTCATATTTTGACTTCATGATAAGAGTTATCTTTATGTTCCTGATAAAAATGCTGTCTAAGCATTCTCAGTGACTACTTGTAAAATATTCGAGCTCTAATGATCACTTCTGTTCTACGATTAGCGAAAATGGCGATTTTCACAATGCACAGTGCCCCTATTTGCCCAGCTTGCCGTTCAGTGTTGATGACAGCTGAGCACTTGAAACTGAAAATTGATGTTAAAAATTATAATTTAAGCGAAGGAGAGCACAAAAATCCAGAATTTAAAAAGGTATGAAATTTATTTTTTACAATCCAATTTATACATCAAATTAATGCACAGAATGCTCAGAAATAATCTTCCTATATATTTTTACAAACCTTGTTAAAAATTAGTTCAAAAGCGTACGTATTTTGAAGAGAACAAATTTGTTTTCCAAGTAACATACATTTTCTAAATCAAAATTTTTTTCCTATTGTTATAAGTGACTTAAATGTAAAATTTCTATCGATCTGACAAATTATCTGTCAACGCAGTCGGGTATACAAAACATGGAAGTTAGTTTAATTGATGCTAATTGAAACTTGAAGGTGTTTTTCACAATAGTATTGCAACTCCACTCTGTGTTTCCTCTGGCAATCAAACATTTTTTGATGCTTTGCTTACCCGCCTTCCTTAACATTGATTTGTCAGATTTCAATAATTTGCATACGATTAAAAATTGGTGAGATTTCCGTGGCGATTTTCTGTGGCAGAAAATCGCCAAGTCTTGGCAACTTCGGGGCAGCGATCCGCAAGAAACGAAAAAAAAAAAATCTCAGAAAGGGACCAATTCGAAGGGTATAACTCGTAACATCTACTTGTTTTTAATTTTAAAAATTTTCCTGTTTAAAATCAATTTGGCGCTTTTGCAATTGTAGTTGGCCTGGCAGATCACGATACAGAAATATCTCCTGTACAAAGACTCAAACCTGTTTTATTTCCTGATTAACCATGGATGAGTTTCTAGTAGTTCACTTCTTGTTTCATCCGATAATCCAAAAGATTTTGATCTTTTATTCACTCGCTTTTCTCTACAGTTATTTGTCAGATTTCGATACAGTTTTGGTTTTGTTCTGGCTTAAAAATTAGTTTCCGAGTTTTTATGTGTATATTCCTTTGATCTCATTTTTTACACGGATTTAAAAATTTTATATCAAGAACGGTCTTTACGGAACACTGCACGATGGCTAATTTCTTCCGGTCCTTCCTTCAATTAAAAAAAAATCATTAAATAAACAACATAGAAAAAATTACAAGACAAAATTTATTTTCTTGCAAATTTTATGTAACTAAATCATTAAAATTTTGGTTAAGTTGTTTCTAAGAATCTTTAAACCTTAACTATCTGGAAGTATATCAAGTTTACATCTTATCTCGTTTAATTATAAGGAATATTTATAATTATATGACTAAATACAATTAAGTTATTTGTAATTATGATACTTAAATGTATGATAAAAATAAAATTATTTTAGTTATATCATACTGTACGATATTCGATCCAGTAAGTGAAAACAAAAATTATAAATACTTTTGTATTAACACCATTAAAACTCTTTCGTTTTCATAAAATGTCTTTGGTAAAGAATAGTTGTAGAAATTCTATTTTGGGACTTCAAGGCTGAAAACATTCCATTGAATCATAATTAGATTTATATTTCAAAGGAGGAGTTATTTTTAGAATCTTGTCCCTTTTTCACTTCCATATTAGGAAGCATTGACTGATTTTCCATAATGCGTAGAGTTACAAAGGTATGTACGACTGGAAACCGTTTACATCAAAATCTGTAAGTATTTAAAGCGGGACCGATGGTTTTCGCATGTATCTTGCTGAATAACATGTTCCAATAAACACTTGTCGGAACCATCCGGAGATTTGTACACACCTCCCTTGTGGAGTGGGGATGTGTGCTGTTATAACCATTAGCCTAACTTTAAATAAACCTTTTTATAACGTAAGATGACTTTTTACTGCATTATTAAAGCTGAATACAGCAATGATATCAGGGTTGTAGCCCTGTTATTATAAATCTGCGGATGGTTCCGGCAGATATTTTATGGAACACGTTATTCAGCAAGAGGGATGCGAAAACCATCGGTCCCGCATTAAATACTTTCAGATTTTGATGTAAACAGGTTCCAGTCGTACATACCTTTGTAACTCTACGCATTATGGAAAATCAGTCAATGCTTCCTAATATGGAAGTGAAAAAGGGACAAGATTCTAAAAATAACTGCTCCTTTGAAATATAAATCTCATTATGTTTCAACGGTATGCTTTCAGCCTTGAAGTCCCAAAATAGAATTTTTACACCTATTCTTTACCAAAGACATTTTATGAAAACGAAAGAGTTTTAATGTTGTTATTAATACAAAAGTATGTTTAATTTTTGTATTACATATATATATTGATTGATTGTGC